ATTACCCTTTTTATTAAGCTTGTTCAATAATTCAAAGTAATAAGTGATTTAAGCAGCGGAATAAATTAAATAATCCAGAAATGCGGAAGACGAAAACTTAATCATTAACCAAACATTTGCTACATAATCTGAAATACAATACTACCCAGAATTTTGGTGTCACAAGTCACAGACTATCTAAGAATACTACAAATAAGGTTTGAATGGAAATACACAAATCTGTTTCTGAATAAGTAAACGCAGAAAGAGAAATGATAGAAGGAGACGCCAAGGCCCGCGGACGTCTGCAGGACTACCTCGGGTCGCCTGAATGGACGGAAGACAGCACCCTCACTGTGGTCCACACGCTCCGGTATCAGTATCTGCACACAGTGCAGAGTGTAGTATCAGCACAACCGACCCCATGTGCTGGTAAGTGCCTAGCCTAACCTCGACGAAGTAGTGACGAGGCTAGGACCAGACTACCAAAATAAATCTGTGTAGTTAAATCATATATAGTAGAAAATAAAAGCAGATAATTACAGCTAAAGTTGGGCGGGGGAAACATACTGCGGGGAGTAACAGATAACAACAGAATACCAATAGAGAAATGTAAGGAACACCATAAATTAATTACCAGCAAAAGATAAGGAAATAAGGAATAAGTAAACATGTAATACCGTTGCAGGCGTGCAACCCGCTCCCATTTCATATAATACCGTTGCAGGCATGCAACCCACTCCCATTTCACATAGTACTGTTGCAGGCGTGCAACCCTCTCCCCTTTCATATAGTACCGTTGCAGGCGTGCAATTCGCTCCCATTTCATATAGTACCGTTGCAGGCGTGCAACCCGCTCTCATTTCATATAGTACCGTTGCAGGCGTGCAACCCGCTCTCATTTCATATAGTACCGTTGCAGGCGTGCAACCCCGCTCCCACTTCATATAGTACCGTTGCAGGCGTGCAACCCGCTCCCATTTCATTTATCAATACCAATCATAAAAGAATCCTGGCAAGGGAGCAGTAATATAACAACAATATCCCGGCAAGGGAACAATAATATAACAACAACATCCCAGCAAGGGAGCAATAATATCACAACAACATCCCGACAAGGGAACAATAATGATAATCCTCATATGAAGCATGAATAAACCACAACGGAGTCACAACAATTACAATACAAGACTCACGGGCATGCTTGACACCGACGTATAAATACTCGTCACCATGCCTATACGCCGTACTCAATAATTAACACAGCAAATAAGACACAACTCCTAATCCCTCAAGCTAAGGTTACACCAACCAAACACTTACTTCAAACTTCCACGGCCAACTCAAGCCTCAAACACCGCTTTTCCTTTAGAATTCGCCTCCAAATTACTTATATCTAGTCCAAATTAATTTAACAACATCAATAAATGCTAAAGAATTCATACCCAATGCTTAATTATAGATTTTCTATCATTTTCCCCAAAAAGTCAAAAATCAAACCCGGGCCCGCTTGGTCAAAACACGAGGTTCAGACCAAAACCCGATCACGCATTCACCCACGAGCCCGAATATGCAGTTAGTTTCGAAATCCGACCCCAAAACGAGGTCTAAATTCCAATTATTCAAAAAGCCCTAACTCTACCCAAAATCCCAAATTCTACCATGGAAGAACAATATTTAGGCCTAGAAATCTAATGGGTGTTAATGGAAAATGAAGGAGACAGGTTGAGGAACACATACCTATGATTTGGTGTTGATTTTACTCTTCAAAAATCGCCTAGGTTCTGATTTTGGGGAAGGAGATGTGAGAAAATGGTTTATTCCCGTTTCTGTTACTGTTTAAAATAGCTAGGCGATAGTGTTCATCGCGTTCGCGATAACACTATCGCGAAGAGCTGCCAGAAGTGGAATTATACGGTTGCGAGTCCTTCTACGCGTTCGCGAAGAGTTGGCTCCCCTGACCCTCGCGTTCGCGGACCAATGTACGCGTTTGCGTAGAAAAACGACCACATCCCAGACCAGCCCCTATTTTAGACTACGAGTTCACGGGGCAAGGGTCGCGTTCGCGTAAAGCAGCCCCCCAGTGCTCCGCGTTCGCGTCCCTTTCTTCGCGTTCGCGTAGAACAAGTTCACCCCAACCCCAATTTCTCTTTCGCGATCGCATGAAAGGCTTCGCGATCGCGAAGCACAACATTTCTGCAACTTTTCCTAAGTATAAAAATCTTCCGAAACTCACTCGAGCCCTCGGGGCTCCAAACCAAACATGCTTACCAGCTCAAAAACATCATATGGACTTACTCGTGCAATCAAATTGGCAAATCAGCAACTTTAACAATGAATCTAGCATCAGATCAAAGAAGAATCTCAAGAACACTTAAGTTTCAAATTTCACAACCGAGGGTCCGATTCACGTCATTTCAAGTTCGTTTCTTATCAAATTTTACAGGCTCAATCTAAACACCATATAAGACCTGTATCGGGCTCCAAAACCAAGATTCGGGCCCAATACCATCAATTTCAAATACATTCAGTTTTCCAAAAACTTTTAAAATTTTAGTTAAACAATTTTATTAAAAAAATCATTTCTCGGGCTTGGGACTTCGGAATTCAATTCTGGGCATACACCCAAGTCCCATATTTTTCTACGGACCCTCCGGGACCGTCAAACCACAGGTTCGAGTCTGTTTACCCAAAATATTAATCGAAGTCAACTTAAATTAAATTTTTAAAACCAAATTAACATTTTAATCACATTTCCACATAAAAGCGTTTCGGATGTACGCCCGGACCGCACACGCAAATCGAGGTGAGGAAAAAGGAGGCTACTAAGGTCTCGGAACATAGAATTTACTAGTAAATCAAGTGATGACCTTTTGGGTCATCACACTAATACAATATCATATTATATTTGTATTAGCATTGTATCATATATTGTTTTAGGTACAAATAGTGATACAACTATGATACAATTCTAGATTATGATACAACTTTGATCTTCATCTTTTTCAAGTTTCAATTCAAAACATCCACCTAGAACCAACTCTAAACTTAAATTATGATACAATATTGTATTTTAATAGTATTAATATTGTATCAGAATTGTCTTAGGTATTGACGTATCAAATACAACTCAGATACAATTATGATACATTTATCATACAATCGTAATACAATTCTGAAATTTTTTCTTCCTCGAGTTTCAATCAGAAATTCAACCTAAAACCAACTTTAAACTTAACGAATCTCCCTTAAATTTGAGATATAAACTCTAAAGGATATTTTCAATCGTTTTCAAGAACACCCAATCCAAAAAAATCACAAATTCGTAAAATCTGAATATCTAATTCAAAGCTTCGAATTTTTTTAATGGTATGTCAATGGCAGACCCTTCCACCTGCAATTTCAGAGATAATTTTGATGGATTTGTCAATAGTTGAAGCTTTTTAATTGTTGTTGGTGGAATTGATTCAGAGAAATATATGATGCTACAATTTTAGAGAGATAATAATCTGATTTGTATGAGGGAGAGAGAGAGAAATATTGGTTGATTTGTATGAAAGAGAGATGATGATTTTGGGTATCAGTGAGTTTCTTACGGTAGGTAAGTACAAAGACATATAATGTTTTGCAATCCTTTGAAAAAGGAAGAGTATCTTAAATATAAGGGGATTATGTGTAACTGATACCTAATATTTAAGGTATGTTTTATTTCCTTCTTTTTATGGTTTTGTATAAAACTAGTAAATATAAGTATATAAAGTAATTAATAAGGAACCTAAATAAAGGTAGTAAATAGGTTTCTATTATAGTATAGCTAGGTAAAAATTCCTTATCTCATCTAAAGTAATAGTAATAATTTTATTAGAAAGCCCATAAATTAGAAATAAAAATACCAGTGTGTCGGTCATCCACAAATTTATAACCAAATCGGTCAGGTTTTAAATCATAAAAAAAAGGTTTGGGTACCGGTTCGATGTCGGTACAGTACCTTAAGGGTACTTACGGTACCGTTACTAAGGGTACTATTTCGGGTACCCTACCTTTACCCATACCCTTCACCCAAATCCCTCACTCAACCCCCCAACTAGAGTGATACGGTCTGGTACCGATACCGGTACTTAAGAGTACGAGTATCGGTATTACCCTGCCCTTAGACAACCCTACTTTTAGTCAAGGATTCGTTCCCCCTATTTTTTTTCTTTTAAATTATATTATAATTAATAAATAGGGTTAAATCCTCATGCCCCTACCGTTTTTTCTAATTAAACACACTTTTTTGTTTCTTTTTTATTGGTTACACATTTTCTTTTTATTTTTATCCTTCTCTTTTTAGTCTTTATTTTGACTTTTAAAATTCCCAAACCAAAAATATCTCTTAGACAACGTCTTGAAAACTTGGGTCTTTGGCGCTCATGATACACCTATGCTCTTGAAATTCTGGATACGTATCTGATACGTAACCTTTTTATCACGTACGTAAGTTTCATTTAATCACGTGCGATAAGATCATACACACCATGGCTATTCCCCTTGAGTTATAATAGACCCACACCATGCTATTCGATAATATTGAAAAAAAGACGGTGTAAGCTAACAATTAGTATGGAAAACTTAGCCATGACCTACGTAGATTTTGAGATGTATAAACCCGTAAATAATAATATAATAGTTGAAGGCACTAAAAGGAAATAAGGGCCAAATTAAAAATAAGAATTAATACACACCTAGTTGGTTATTTCTAAAGACTCTATCTATAGGAATTATAGTTAGGATGAAAAGTATAAGCAGTAATAACTTTTAGGTATGTATGTTGAAATTTAAAGAATTTATTAACTTGTTTACAATTGTTAGGAAAGGAGGGCAGATTATTCGGTATTTGAAATGAAATGAATCGNGGAAGCAGAATCACGTAGAAGATTCACATAGCTGATCCTGACTGACTTGAGATAGATGCAATCTTTATGAGCAATCGAAGCAGTAGGAGTGAAGTAGAAAACTCAACGAGACTTTGAAAACGTAGCTATAAACAAAGGCACATACTGTAAGGTGATATTATACTAGAGGTATTACAGACCATTTATTTGTACACGATATACATAAAATCAGCCCAATCGTTTTAAAATCAACATTAATTTGTGGTCGCCACATTAAACTCAGAACATCATTTCCAGGAACTCACTGTTGATTGAGGAAGCTCCAATGTATGTAAGGTGCTATAGGAAACAGTAAAGATGTTGTCACTCTTGACCCTACTGCAAACCTTACCACTCATCTATCTTCAGTAACTAATAAAAGTACAAAAGCTTGTATTGCATAAACAGAAGGCTACTTTCAAGTCTAGTTTTGCTATACCCAGTGACCAGCTCGTATATCGGGATGTTATTCTTACAAGAAAATAAGACGAGCTTCACCTCCGATACGAGTTATGTGACACAAAAAAACTGTAGTCAGGGTGATTAACTTGCAAAAGCCGGAGCCAATTGTCAGCAGCTCGTAACAGAGAGTTGACCTTCTGACATTCATTAACTCCATCAGGAAACCAGAATGGTACTTGGAATTTGTAGGAGGCCAGCCCAAAGGTTGAGAGAGGTAGCTTGGCAGACGTACCAGTACCAACAATGCCTCTACTAATAGTTGTACCATGCTGTTGAGGCCAGTCAGTCCTAGAAACTGCAAAAGCTTGAACAATAGATGGTCAGCAACTTCAAGAACGAACAACTGGCCCATTTTGTCTGTGAATTGAGCAGAAATAGAGAAGAAATGGGATGAATGACTTACCACCGGCAGGTGTTGAAAGAGAATGGTACGTCAAAAAGCAAGCATCAAGATTTTGCAAAGTTGGTCCTGTGGGTATCCTATATATGGGATACCTTCATGATGGGAAAAGCAAAAGACACATCAGTATTAACAGGTGAGTTTAGAAACCAAATCTTTGTTCAGTGACGGCTGAAAGGAGAAAATCTTACCAAGCCACAGAAATCCAACTTGCAGGAGTCAGATCACAGCTCCTACAGGTTTTCAGTTCAGGAAATTTAGATGCAAGGCCTGAAATCTGCAGCATTGTGGGCAAAAGATTATAAGTGCTATAACACGATAAAATAGAAGACTGACACACTTCTGTTTGAAGATAAATTACTTGCCTTGTCAGCTAAAGGTTCACGACCATATGGTTGATTCCGCTCAAAATATTCAAATATAAGGAGACCGTTCCCCATCTCATTCTCATCGCCTGAAGATTCCAAGAAAGGGTCTTTTTTTAGGGAGAGATGCTTGATTACATCAATACTTGAGCCAATCATATTCTGCTGATTCCAACTTCCATGAACTTTATTGGCTACCCTTGAAGCTCCAGCTCCATATTCACTACTGTCATCACTACTTGTCTCCCTGAGAGAATCAGAATCACTTTCTTCACCTGGTCTCCTGGAAAAAATTTAAGCCCAAGATTGCTATTTGAAAGAATATGCAGCTGATCCATACTAGTAATCCACAATCAAATGCACCAACAAATTAAAATGAACTAAGCTTTTAAGGAAACAGAGCAGTTACTGTGTATTTCAATGATTAAGCAAGATGTTTTCTACTTCAACCTAGTTTTCACTTAGCAGGTAAGATGAGCAGCACAACAAAAAATAGAACGTTAATAACCTTGAGACATTTGCTAGCTCCATCTTCTTGCACAAAGTAAAATAAAAACTTTAAAGCAGTAAAGGACTAGTCAAATAATCAACAAAGGAGTTCAACTTTAAGGACTATACATGCCCGTCAGGCCGATGCCACATTACCCTGTTAAAAGTGTTCTCTTGAACAATCTTTTTAGGTCACTCTTTGTGCAATAAATGTCCATAGAAGCTCATAGTTTATTTATGCAAAACCTGAAGCGCTTCAATAGCTAAATTTATAATTAAGAATATGCCTTCCATGACCAAAAATATAAAACGTATATCCTGCAATATAGCATAGAGGAAGGTCCACGCTTTAACTTCAATTGAGTGGCACGGCCACGGCCATGGCCAGAAGGTTTAGATATCCACATCTCATTGATCTTGGTCTTTTACATAATAGATAACATTTGAGTTTATAAGAGATAAAAATAAATATAAAAATTGCAGATTAACCAATCCCCATACTAGCCAGAAGCTAGGATAAAATCACCATTCTCAAGCGAACATTTAAGAGGACAATTAGAACTGAGCCAGAATCAGTAACATCTATTGCATAATGGAGAGTGCATCTTTCTTCTAAACAACTATAATAAATCGACACAGTATTCTGAAAGCTCTTCAACACTTCTTTTCTCATTCCC